TAGAGAATCTAATCAAGACTAAATCAAGTCACAGAGTGAATTTGCAATTTGCAACTAATAGACTCAAAATGCTCTCACATAGTGAGACATTGTCTCCATTTCCCCATATGTACTTTTACATTTAAGCCACTACTGGACCATCCATATAATCTATGGTTCACACTAATGCACAACCAAGCTGGCCTCCCTTCCTCTAACACCTGCTGTGGGTTTTTTTTCCAATGAAACAGCATTAAATTAATGGTTCAATGTTAATGTGAATTGACTTCATTGATTTTGTGCTGACAGTTGATTAATTATAAAGATAGGTATCATATATTCATGTTCTCTTCTCTGACTTAAATACCCAAATATGACATACTGAAGTTGATGCCACAAAGACCTTTGATCTTTGAGGATGATTTAAGTAGTATCATAATGATTATTTATGTTTTCTACCTCTGCTTCCACTTTGCAATGAAAATTTTATATCCACAAGCTGATTTGGAAAATCAGAAATTTTTACTGTAAATTAAGGTGGAGTTTGTGTCATATTAACTGTGAAATTTTAAAAAGCAGCTGTTATGTGTGAGATTCTTTTTTTAAGATTTATTTATTTATTTGAAAGACAGAGTTATATAGAGAGGTAGAGACAGAGAGAGAGGTCTTCCATCCACTGGTTCACTCTCCTGATGGCTGCAACAGCCGAAACTGCACCGATCTGAAGCCAGGAACCAGGAACTTCTTCTGGGTCTCCCACGTGGGTGCAGGGGCCCAAGGACTTGTGCCATCTTTTACTGCTTTTCCAGACCATAGCAGAGAGCTGGATCAGAAGTGGAGCAGCCAGGACTCGAACTGGCACCCATATGGGATGTCAGCACTGTAGGCGGTGGCTTTACCTGCTGCTCCACAGCACTGGCCCCTGTGAGATTCTTTTAAGTATTGTCTATTTTTTTTTAAAGAGAAGGCATTTTTTTTATTGACAGATAGAGTTAGACAGTAAGAGAGAGAAATAGAGAGAAAGGTCTTCCTTCCATTGGTTCACCCCCCCCCCCAAATGGCCACTACAGCCGGAGCTACGCCGATCTGAAGCCAGGAGCCAGGTGCTTCCTCCTGGTCGCCCACGCGGGTGCAGGTGCCCAAACACTTGGGCCATCCTCCACTGCCTTCCCGGGCCACAGCAGAGAGCCGGACTGGAAGGGAAGCAGCCGGGACTAGAACCTGGTGCTCATTTGGGATGCTGGCACCACAGGCGGAGGATTAGCCAAGTGAGCCACGGCGCCGGCCCCTTGAGTATTATCTCTTATCCTCCATTCTTTCTCCTGCTTCTCCTTATTCTTTTCCCACTTTCCTTTCTTTTCTTTCTCTACTTCTCCCTGTCCTTCTACTCCACTACATACTGAGTTTCAGTTACAGTAGTGGATGGTTTTCCTGTCCATAAATTAAAAACATTATCCACAAAGATATTTCTTTTTTTCAATTCGCTAAAATGTTCTAACACATATTGGACATTGACCAGGATAAATGAGTACTTTTATGTCTAGGCTTTGTAGTATTCTTTCTTTTACAATGCATTTTAAAGGCAAAGTGATAGGGAGAGAGAGAGAGAGAGAGAGAGAGATCTTCCATCCACTGTTTCACTATCCAAATGCCTGAAATGGCCTAGGTGGATCCAGGGTGAAGCCAGGAGGCTGGAACTCAAAACAGATCTCCTATGTGGGTGACAGGGACCCACGTATATATACACACATTAGTAGGAAGCTGGAATTGAAAAAAATAAGCGCAGGCACTCTGATATAGGATGTGGGCATCCTAAGTGGTGTCTTAACTGCTTTGTCAAATGCCCATCTCACCATATATGCTTTAAAACCTTTGAAGTCAGGACTTTAGGAAGGCTTGTTCTCTCTAGTAATTGAAATATTTGTCCTGAATTGACATAGAACATCTGGGTGCTAGTCCTAACTCTACCGTAAGCTGGCTGTGCATCCTTGGACTACTTTGACTCTCTGGGCCTTGGATTCCACATATTTTAGATGGAGAGCATTCTATTTTTCCAAGACTGTAACAAAGATGGGGAGCTTCTGTGTCTCAATATCCAAGGCATTTGGGGAAGCTGGGTATCCATGTGTGCAATGTGTACATTTGGGAGCCAGTAAAATGTGGGTTGGGATCACACCAGAAATCTGATGCTGAACAGCTGGATTGAAATATGAATGTGTTTTAAGCCAGCTCCACCGTTGTGATATGTCAGAAGCACAGGGGACTTGGCCTTTCTTAGAAGCTTCCCAAAGGAGAAGTTATCTAAAGGCTTTTTCGAAAGCTGAGTGGGGGTAGAGAGGCCTGGGATTGAAGGAGAGTGGATCATTGTCAAAGCAACCCGCAAAACAATTTGTAAAGTTTAGTTGTCCTACAATAGGATATCAAGGAATGTAACTGAGATGTACAAATCATCCCTTTCATTAAAATTTTTGAAATAATTCACAGTCATGTGAGAATAATTTCTGTGTTCATCGTCATTTCTCCTTTCTTGTTCTTAAATTCATGTTTTGTTACTTTTTAAAGCCTCTGAATCCTACATCCTACAATGTCTGTTGTTTTCCACAATTGATTTAGTCTTTCATATTCCTACTTTTGTTTCTTTATGTATCTTTATAAAGCCTCTCAATGTTCCTACTTCTCTGTATGCAGTTGGGCAGAAACATCCATGGCTAAATTTGAATTATGTAACAAGCTTTCTAACAGCAACCATGGCAAGATAAAGAGGGAGGGATAAACTTGGTCTACATTCAGAAACCTGTGATCCAATAGGGGAGGACTAGGTGAATACAAGTGAAAATACAAGGAGATCTTAAAACAAAGTGCTAATGCCTAAAGGCCACTAGCTGAGGAACACTTCATGATGAGGACTCCTTTACTCATGACCAAAAAAAAAATGGCAGATAGGGTCAAAGCTAGTCTCAAAGACATCACAAAGATCTTCAGAGACAAGGAAGTGGCAGAGAGTAGACAATTTGGGGACAATTAATGTATCAAAGTTAGGGCTACAGTTTTTTTTTTTTTTTAACCAACGTCCTAGATATTACTGGGAGGTCTGTAGCAGAGCTCAAAGCCATGTATCCTCCGTCATAGGCTCTGCCACCAGGACAATCTGCAGGATGCTTATTGAAATCACAATGCCAGTCAGTGACTGGGGTCACTAAGATATGGTAATCAATAGCTTTCAACTTATCTACAGACACTCCTAGTACTCATGACACCCTAAATTGAAATGTTCTTTCATTGTACATCAATCAGACCATAAGCTCCATGGTGTTATTACAGAGTCTTATTCATTGCAGTCTCTCCAGTGACTAATCTATATATGTATTGTCAAGTGGTTAAAAGCACAGTCTCTATCTCTCCTCTCTCTCTCTCTCTCCCTCTCTCCCTCTCTCCCTCTCTCTCTCTCCCTCTCTCCTTTCTCTTTCTCCTCTCTTTCACTGTCTTTCAACTAAATATTCTTTTAAATAATGCTTTTTAAAGCACAAGCTTTGAAGTCATATCTGCACTTGTCTGGATTCACTGTCATCTGGATAATTTGTCGTATTTGGGTCTCGGGTTTCTCATCTTTAAAATAGCAATGTCAATAATATTGACTTCTAGGTTTTGTTGGGAGGGTAAAATGAGATGATAGATTTGGAAGTAATTAGCAGAGTGCTTGTCATTGAGTAAGCCTTCAGTCAGTGGTAACTCTGACTGTCATTACATGATCATGGGATGAATGGGTGAAGGACAAGTGAGCTGAAGAAGGGTTTTGGCTTATTTAATAAGGTTGAGACCCAGGACTAGGAAAAGGCTTAATAGGAGCTACCCTGATAGGCCTCCAAATCTTCCTCCCTCCTCTGGGCATCTCTTGGATGTTTGGGAGGCTGAGACACCTTAAGCACCTCTTCCTTTATATGAGGCTTATAACCATCTTGCCTGGGGTACCAGGAATTGAATAGAATTTGAGTGGGAGATGATGTTATTAATATAAACATTTTTTCCAATATAACATATTTTTTTTTCTGTACCCAGAAATCTGCTGTTAGTTTGTGAGCACCGTGCATTTGTAACACCATTGCTGGCAGCATGAATGGGGAGCTTAGAACAATTAGAGGCTTTGAACACTTTCAAGCTAAAGAGTGGGATAAGCATGTTTTGACTCTATGGTTTCTCCTGGGGTTTCCCTGATGGGCTGGACTAATTATCAAATGTAATTAGGAAAGCTGAGAAGTGGGGAGACTGCATGGAGCAGTATACTTTCCCAGGGACCATCATTTCTTTGTGCAAAAAGGGGGTTGGTAAGAATCTCTCTCTGTTCTGGAAAAGCAGCAATCATAAGGCACTAGAAGGCAGGAAGGGTCTTGGTACATGGCTTTACAAGCCTATTGAGGAACCATGCTTTTGATGAACTTTTAGGTAGTCAGCCTAGTTTCCCTCTCCAGGTTTCTCAGGGAGGAGTGGTAACCTGAGCCACTACCAAGTTTTTGGCTTATTTTTAGCAAAGGTTCAATTTGAGGGTATCCAATGCAGTTAAGAAATGGTGTCCTTCTTTTAAAAGTCTCCATTTCTTGGTTAGCCCCAAGGTCCTATCCATCACAGGCTGCATAACATCTTTATTGTCTGCTTTTGCCTAGACCCCTGGCCCAAGAGTTGGGCCAGGAACACTCTCTTTGAAGGTCTAAGAAGAGGTGACATTTGTTGACCTGTTTGCTGGGTAACTTTTCTTAAAAGGGAGGCATTCCATTCAGACATAGTCTCAATCTTACCCTTGAGGCAATGGAAAAAATGAACACATGAAACATGAAAATATGATGACACTAATTGTGGCATTATTCAGCAGTGTTTGTTGAGCAGATTATAAGTGTTATAGGTGTTTGAGAAAAGAGATTCCTGGGATCTGGAAATGATGACCTAGATGTCAAGCTTTTTTTCATGAGTGTGAGTTGCATTTCACAAGACCACCAAATACCAATACAATGTTTCTGGTTTCTTCATAGGTAACTTGTCTCCATGATTTCTTTGGTGATGATGATGTGTTTATTGCCTGTGGTCCTGAAAAATTTCGCTATGCTCAGGATGACTTTTCTCTGGATGAAAATGGTAAGCATATAACTGGGTTTTATTGTTCCATTTTTCTTCTTTCTATCCCTAAGAATTCCCATGGGTTTATATTGTCTGAAGAACACTTATGCATGGTACCTCAAGGATGGATATTGTAAATTTTTCCCTGTATATTTGGATACATGGGTCACTATGTGCAAGGTTGATGGGATGTCCTAGAGACCTATCCTCCAAACCCAATAAAACTCACCATCTGCCCTGACAGTGACCATATATTTAAAGCACATAGTGTATCACATGGATTGATAGGCACAATCAGGTCACAGGAAGGAATATTTGGAGTTAAAATTTATGAATATATATTCATTCTGCTCACGTGGATGTGTCTATTCTTAAATTTTCCACTGAGTCAGTATCAAACATTTTTTCCTTGAAAACTCCTTAGGTTTTCTGTCCCATTTTCCTCATTTTGTGATTTAGGATTCCAAGAGCGCTTTTAATCTCAGGATGGAGATGAACATATGCCCATCTATTTTCCCTTGTTTGAATCCAAGCTCCAGGTATAAGTTTAAGGGTGAATCAGCTCACACAGAAATAGGGTTTTTTGATGGAAAGGCACATTCAAATATATTCCTCACTTTTCAAAAATTAAAGTATGAGAAAAACAAAGGTGGAGTTTCTAATATAGACTTCACATATAGCTCAGATGACAAGAAGCCTAAAAGAGGTGGCATTTCTGCTGTATTCCATTTGTGAAAAGGCAAATGATCATACAATAGCTAAATGAGTACAGACTATTTCCAATTCACTCTATCTTCTACATCTCTAGGTACAGGCAGTGACTACTAAAGTTCATCAACCAAAACAAGAAGTGAAACAAACAAAAATGAACTTTCCCCTTAACTGAGTTTCCTGAAATACTTAATTTAAAAGAGTAGCTACTCAAATCTTTCTGGTTAATTTATACATCAATGTACCTTTAAGTAGTAGACAACAAGGAGATTATTCTTGTGGTGGCTGTTGGCCTGTTAAGATGTCTGCATCCCACATCAGAGTCCTGGCTCTGGCTCCAAACTCTGGTTTGCTGCTAATGCAGATTCTTGGAAGAATCAGGTGATGGTTCAAGTAAGTGGGTTCCTACCACCCAAGTGAGAGATTTGCATTGAATCCTTAACTCCTGACTTTAGTCCTGGCCATTGTGAGTATTTGGGAAGTGAACCACTGGATGAGAGTTTTCTTTCTGTCTTTCTTCTGTCTCTCTATCTCTGTCTCTCTCCCTCTCAAATAATTTTTTAAAAGAAAACACTACTCTGTTTCCAGATGTTTGATTCTACTTTTCATATCACAGTACAAGGTTGAGAAAATGTCAGTGGAAAGATCACTAAATTGAGACTCAGGAGATTTGGCTTGTAGTTGTTGTTCTACTTTTTTGCTTCCTGGCCCAAAACAAAAGGCTGCTCATCAGCAATATAAGTATAATGATCCTCCTAAAAATTTAGCACTATCAAAGCCCCAGATGACCATAGTATGGAATACTGAATGATTGTATGATAAAGATGCTCACTATGTGTCAGATTGGATTTGAGGCAAATACAGGAACATCTGGCACATTCTCCTTCACAACCATGAGCTGAATGACAGAGTTACTCCTGGCACATTTATTCATTAAACCACCATATGGGGTTAAGATAGTGTGCACCCAAAATCAAAAGAACTCTATGCGTGCAAGACGATGGTGGTGATAGTGCTTATTTATATAAAATTACATAACGGGCTGATGTTTTGCCTAGTGGTTAAGATACTCACATTCCACATTAGTGTGTCTGGGTTCAATTCATAGCTCCTGATTCCAGCTTCCTGTTAATTCAGACCCTGAGAGACAATGCTAATGGCTCAAGTAATTAGGTTCCTGTCATCCACATGGAAGACCTAGATTGTGTTCCTGGGCCACAGATTCAGTCTGGCCCATCCCTGGCCATTGTGGGCATCTGGGAAGTGAACTAGTGGATGGAAATTCATATTCTCTCTCTCTCTCTCTCTCTCTCTCTCTCTCTCTCTCTCCGTCCCTCTGCCTCTAAAATAATAAATAAATAAATAAATTTAAATGACACGAAATCCATTATGTAAATCTTATAAATTTGTGGCATATAATAGACAATAAATGATAGTTCCTACTCCCACTTTTAAATTATTCATGGATGGTTGATCTGTGTAGCTGCAACCTCTGAGCTATCAATTTCAACTCCAAGGAAACTAATTAAAGGATGCATCAATTGATGCTCTTCTGAGATATGGTTAAGTCTTTAGCAAATAAATGAGTTGGCTTTTTTTGCACAGAAGGGGGAGACAAAGAGAGAGAAAGAAAGATAAAGAGACAGAGTTAGTCCTCATCCTCTGTCTCATTCTCCAAATGCTCACAATGGCTGGAGGGGCCAAATCTGGCAAGTGTAAACCCAATCCATTTCTCTCATATGGGTAACAGGAACCCAATTACTTGAACCCTCACTACTGTCTTTCAAAGTCCAAATTAGCAGGAGACTGGAGTCAGGAGACAGAGCTAGGGATCAAACTTCGGCACACTGATATGTGCTTCAGCTGTCCTAACAGGTCTTAACCACTATGCCAAATGCCTACCTCAGGTGGACTTTTAATTACCTACTTGACTGAATTTTGAACTCCTGCCCTTGTTCCATAATCCAGGGTCTTAAATACGTATCTTAGTCCAGATGACTTTTGAAAATGCCTCCATGCCACCTACCCCAGAACCATAGTTCCTACAAACAATGAGGACCACATTAGAGCCCTGAACCACTGAGGTGTTTTTGGCCTATGTTAGTTGTTCCTGTTTCCAAAGGCTAATGACATTCTCAGCCTCAATTTTACCTCCTACTAAGCTGTCTCTTTTGCCTCAGAATGCCGAGTCATGAAGGGAAACCCATCGGCCACAGCTGGCCCAAAGGCATCCCCAACACCTCAGAAGAGTTCAGCCAAGAGCCCCGGCCCCATGCGCCGAAGCAAGTCTCCAGCTGACTCAGGTAACGACCAAGACGGTGAGTGATCTTCTCCTAACTGTGCATGCTGACTTCACTATGTAGGCCAGTACCCTCTGCATGCAGAGGATTGTGTTCCTCATGAGTACTACTGTGTTTCCATGAGTGCAAATTCTGGTAATTCAGAGATCAAAAACTTCAAACGTTTTTGGAATCATGGAGGCACAGCGATAACCTGATTCTACTCAAATGGATGCAGACCAGAAATCTGGCCAATTTGTCCTGCTTGCTGTAATGCTCATTGTCATGATTGTCATCATTGTCATCATTCTCATTCAGCAAAAACATATTCAATGAAATGATTGAGTCAAATTTTAAATTGGAAATCCAAATGGAGAATAAGTATGTAAAAAATGACACCAATAAGTATCAACCAGGTTGATGTACTCGAGCTTCAAATTTGGCTCTGAACTACTTAGAAACCAAAACAAAAAGGAAGTCAAGTACACCAAAAATATACATAAAAGAGATAAAAGGTAGATCATATCATTCTCCCAACGGAGAAAGAAAACGTAGAACTAGTTCTGAAAGAAAACAGTAAGATTTGTCATAAAGATTGTATTTAATGGATAGTGAGTTATCTAAAAAATGTGTTCTATGGATAACCGCCAACCCATGAACTATTTGTTAGCAGTCAGTCTGTGATGAGATTAGTAGCTTGTGCCAAATGTAAATCAACTATGCCACTAGGCAAACTATTTAGTTCAGTTTATATTTCTTGAGAGCACAATTTTATTGATAAAGGCAACAGTGTGTTCATTCATGCACTGGCTCAAACTCTTTATCTTTTCTTGGACTCACAGTTTGAGTGGCATTGATCTAAAGGGCAATGTTTTCTAATTTTTTATTAAAAATAAAGGACCACAGAAGCCCAAGTTCATAAGTTTAGCATACATGCACAGAAAATGTGAGTTCTTCATATTAAGGGCATTTTATGGTCCAGAGGACTTAAACATTTATCTTGGCAAGGTTCAGGATTCATCATGAGAACTCTACTAGCCTAAGAGCCATGGGGAAGTCAAGCACCTTCCATCTGGGGCAACTTGAGCGGCCTGTTGGCTTTGAAATTCCTGTGCCTGGTACAACAGCCTGCTAGGAGTATGCATATCACCAGCCACTACTTTATACTCAGGCAGGGGGAACTAAATTATAAAAAGATAGCCTCATTTTTTCATTCTTACATACTTTCATACTTTGCACATCCTGTTGTCTCACTCCTGGAATGCCATTCCTCTGACCTGCCACTTGTCTTTGCTTGAAAACTGATGTTCATACTTCAAGACCTCTCATAGAGTAGAGATGGCTGTTCTGTTCTCTGTAATATCACAGCATATCATTCATATCTCTGGGATAATATTCGCCAGACTGTGTTGCAAAATGTGTATTTGTTTGTCTGCTTCCCCAACTAGATACCAAGCCCCTCAAAGAAACAAGTCATTACCTTTATTTTTGTATGCTCAGTGCTAAGCACAGTGCCTGACCCCTAGTAGATGCTCAAGAAATGGTTGTGAATAAGTAGGTATACAAAAGCACCTGTCTTACCCTGTATAGTGCAAGGTAATGTTTGTTGAAGGAATACAAATACATATGTGTTGATGATCTATTTTTTAAATGTGAAGAACACATAATATATATGTTAACATATATATATATGATATATAAACAAATTCCTATTGCTGAACTTTAAAAGACTTAGGTTTTAACACTTGGACTGAATAAAATTGCACAGTTTCTAAGCAGAAGGTTACAAAAAAATAAGATGGACTTTAAAACACTTGGTCAGGTTTTACAAAATATATGAATAATTGCTTAGCTAACCATTTTTCAAAAACAGCTATGTCTTGGATTTTTAGCTGCATTACTTGTATCTTGCTGTGACATAAATTACTTCAAGACTAGTGGCTTAAATAAGTATTTGTTATCATAAAGTTTGTGAGTCAGGAATTCTGGAGTGGCTTAGCTGGGTGGTTGTGACTCAAGATCACTCATGTTGTTATAGTCAATTAGGGATACTGTTAGGGGCTGCAAATATCTGAAGCTGAACTGAGTTGCAAGATATACTTCCAAGATGGCTTTTGGCAGGATCTCCCACAGTAATAATTCAAGGAAGTGAACAAGAAAGAAGATGCAGTGCTTTTGATGATCTGGTCTCCAAAGCCAACACTCTCAGTTGTTTTATTTTATTCATTATAGTCATTAAGTCCAGCCTAATTCAAGGGGAGAATTAGGCTCCACTGCTTCAAGGGAGGTATCAAAGAATTTTAGGACCTGTTTTTTTGAACAGCTATATAACTCATTGGTTTGAAATTCTCAGGTGGTATTAACTTGAAGAAAATAGATTCTCTTTGACAATGTAATCAGATGGTTACCCAGAACACATGAAGACAACGGCCTGCAATTAAACACTTTTAATTGATAAAATAAATGTCAAATTATTACTCTCCAGCATACTACCTCCAAATTTCCTTTCCACAGAATGTACACCTCAATGACTCTAAGATAATAAAGACATAAATGTAATGTGAGATTTCTTCAAAAAAGTCATGGGAAATGGGATTAAAAGATGTTTATTTTGGTTCAAAACATTTTGAAATCCACGCATGCAAGGGAGCATCACAAATTTCATGAAAAATTTATATGATGAGAAAAGATATGCATGAATTTCAAAGATCTTTTTATGACAAAATAGACTCATCTTTTAACTCCATTTTCCCCATAAACTTTTGAAGTACCCTTGCATAATAGGACTTAATATTTGTTAAAATGAAAGGATTTATAATAGATCCTAACTGAGGATTAAGCGGCAAGAACTGCTCTCTTGCTCCTGCAGAACTCGCTCGCTAAAGGAAAGGAATGAAGATTTATCCAAACACACAAGATATGCAGAGTAACCAATTTGAGAAGAGGAGGGGACTTTACTTGGCAGATATCAGAATTATAAACAACCCTTGTTCTCTACTACCATTCTAAAGTGGTGTTTTCAGTAGAGAGATTTGAAATCTTCATTTCAGAGAGTTCATGAACATAAATGAAGCAAGCTCTAGTCTAGACCACCTTCATGACAGTTTCCAAAATGTTTTGGCTTATCTCAGATTATGTGTCTACAGCTTCTACATTATTTCAGCCCCAAAAGACAGGAGGATCCATGTAACATGGCCATGCTCATTCCATGGAAGTTCGTTTAGTCAAGTCCAAGGCATCCACTCAGTGAATATCCCAAAGGAGCAAAGCTGATCTTGGGCAAAATAGTACCCTAGGTAAGGTTTGGATGTGTCATATCCAAATGCTCCTTTCCACTCTCATTTCACTCACAATCACTCCAAGCTGGGAATTGGAGGGAGTTAGGATATGGAAGAGAATACAGAGACACCTCTCAAAAAAAGACCCAAACTCACCATGTCCTAGCTTTGTAATTTGGGACAAATTTCTTACCTTCTGTAAGATATAGTATCTTCTTTGAATAATACAGTTTGCATATCTAAAGATAAGAATAATCTTCCAGTTATCAGCTATTTATAATTGTAAAGTAACTCCCAAAGAATCAGAATCAGATAACCATGATGATGATTTATAGACAATGCATAGTTTTCAGTTGACATAAATATCTCCTACAGATGTTTGACATTTAAGAATTGTTTCATAAAAGGTCAAGATTTTTCTGTGCTATTAGCAAAGGACATACACAGGCTAATATATGTTTACCTAAAGAATAATGATATTGGGTTGGTTTGAAATTCTTTATTCTTTTCTAAGGCTTGGTAGGTGGCACCACCATATTTGATCCTGTGTTAGTCTGACTTGTATCTGAAACTTTTGGATAGATTCACATATCTTCATTCAACCTGAATCTTGTGGAAGATAGGCCATTTCCAGGGAATTTTGATTACCTTCCTTTGAAGGGAAACGAAAGCCCAAAATGTTACTTTTTAGCAGGGATTCAAACCAAATGAAACATTGGCTCAGTTCAGATTTAGTTAAAGGAATGTTTTGATGTTCTAGTTTATTAGAAAACATATAGGTTTGATTCTGCTTTGAACAAATATATATATATATATATATTCCAATTCATGCTTCAGTAAATATCTGGATTCATTTTAACTTGAAGTTTATTAAATTGATGCTCTTTGGTCTGTAACTTGCATCATAATTTGATTCCTTAGTGTTTAGTCTTAAGTTGTCTGTTTCCTGTACTGTCCCATGAATAAATCAAAGACCTTATCATTCATTCCCTTCAAGTTCAGTCCCCACTTCTGCCAGTACTGAGTGTGACCTAAATGGGATGTCTGTTGCTACATCCTAAACTCAAGTTTAGGAAGGATTTTGTTCATATAATCCTCCTCTGAGGAGCCCATTCTCACTGACCAGAGTTAATGGACTCCTGGAATCCAAGTCACATTAGCCACATCTGCCTTTAAAGTAGACCAGGGAGCTATAATAAGCAGATAAAACTGGAAGCCAGAAGCCCTCTATAGGATATTTGAAGAAAACTTGCAGAGTGCTATTTTGATTGCCTTTTCATAGACAGAGGTAATCCTGCCTTCAGAACAAAAGGAAGACATTTCCCATTTGCCTCTCTCTGCTCCTATTGCAGCTATTAATGTGTTAACTTTCCCTTTATGCAATTTTGCCACCTATTGAACTGAATTGAATTGAAAGGACAAAATTGCTAGTTGCTGGGAAGGAATCTTCTCTTCTGTTATTTTTTAAGAATCCCTCAAAGAAGCTAATTACCCACCCTGGTAGGCTGAGAGAATTGTAATGTGATAATTGGCTTGCTATTCTTCAATAGTCTATCATTGTTGTAGCAACCCAAGGTTCTCCATGTCCCTTCCCTGATTCATACACACCTATTCCTGAAAGTCAAACCTACCCTGTTCCCAAATTCCCCCAAAAGAATGGCTTCTGTACCAAAATATACACCTTTTTTCAGAGGAGGTCAAGAGACACAGAACAGTAGAGAGTGTATGGAAATTGTATCCCCAGGTCCTTCTTTTCTGAAC